CTAAAGCGGAGTAGATTCTTGTATATATTTTATTGAATTAGTTTTAGAGTGAGAGTCATCTTATGTTAGATTTTAGGTGGTCATATATAAGCAAAATTGCTTATCGACATTTTTAATTAACCCACGCGAGGTATTTTTCAGTTTTATTTCGTTTTTATTTCCTTAAAATTCTATAATTTGATTGGTCACCTGTCACGTGATTCTTCACCGTTTTAGACGACCCCAAAATAGCAATAGGCATAACTTTTACAAGTGACAATGTCAATGAGTCTGACACGTAAAAATAATCAATATTATTGTTTTGATCATACAAAAATTTTTTGTTGGCTGATCTATTTTTAGATATACATATCTGATATTTGAAAACCTAAAAAATACAAAAAATCGTAGTCTAAACCCATCTCGGGTGGGTTAAGTAAAAATGTCGGGAAGGGAATTTTGCTGATAGATAACAACCTAAAACCTAACCTAACCCTAATGTAAGATGACTCTAACTTTAAAGTTAATACAGAAAATTATTAAGAAATATGAGCTACCTCGCTTTAGACGTCCCCTATTTTGGATTATTGAAAGGCTATTTTGGGTTCTTTGAACTTTAGGTTTGTTGAACATAGATATTAAATTTTCAAGCCGCAAGATTAAATGACAAAGCCTGGGATTTGTAAAAGCAAACAATAATTTCTATATCGTGCTAATTTCTATATCGTGCTAAATAAATCAACCAATCAACGTGAATTTAAAAATCTGCCCATATGCGATTTTTTCGCCGGCGATCTATAATTTGATTGGCTGTGATCACATGAATTTGCCCCACTTTAGACGACCCCGTTTTTGGTATATTCCCGGACTTTACTATCATACTGTAAAAAATTTGTCTCTTCAATAAAAATTTAAAAAAATTAATTTGCAGATTATATACATATAGTGTGCGTATGCATATATGTGTGAGAATATGTAAATGAATTTGCTTGTTCATTGTTCTTATCTTACAAGTGAAACCCTAGAAGTCGGATCAAACAGATCAGCTGAGTATAAATGAATGATTAAAAAGAGTAATGGAATTCTAGAAATGTACAATTGTACTTTACATATACTTATTTTGATATGATGTTATTGCTGCATTGTTATGATTTAAATTATCATTATCTGTTATGTACGAACGTATGCACGTACGTATGTACATACAGTACATGCACTACCATAGTAACTTTATTTGTCGGTGCATCCATAACAAACTAAATCTATAAGCAAAAAATCGCAAAGATTATGTACGCACGCAATTACCATAATATGGATATAAATATTAGCAATGATAGTTAAATTGAGTTTTCAAGTTTTTCACGAAACATTTTTTCGTGAAAATCACGATTTACAATGCTTAAAATGAAGTATCTTATTTTTTTGACAGCTCTTTTAATTTTAACGGTAAAATTTTATTCATCTCGGTTTTTGTATAAATATATGTCGGGGATGATGCTGAAACAATGATGCTGAAATGTGGGGGTCTCAATTTAGAAATCTAAACCCTACTAAAATCCACTAATACCTTTTTATTATAAACACTAACCCTAAAACCTAACTTAACTACAAAAAAATATGCTAAAAAAATATTCCCCAAAATTCAAAATTCATATTAAAAAAAAATCAATATTTCAGCATCATCCCCGACAATATATATATAAATCATAATTCTAATACATAGAGGACATATATTTACATACCAGGTTCATGAGATTAGTGCTATTACCGTTACAATTCCTGGTTATACCTATTTGATTAAGTGCGTTACGACTGACCAGACTAAAACAAGTACGCAAATAAGCTATGAAATTACTTCAAAGAAATATAGTTCTATATGTATGTATTTTACAATTATTTGAATTGAATTTTCATTTTTAAAATGCCAAATTCAACAGAATTTCATACATTCTTAATTAATGTGCATGTTTAAAATAGCCATTAAATATACTAGTACAATACCATCAACATATTCAAACCCTACTGCGATAGATAGAAGCGGCGATTTCGGATTTAAGTACTCTTACCTTCAACATGTTTCAATATTGGACGCCATCTTGGCATCATATTCTGGTCCGAGATTCACTGTTACTAATTCAATTACTCCAGTTGATATGGGTGGCTTTTTTGTGTATTTATTGGCTAATGATCTTTCTCCACCCGCTAACCCCCTTTGTGGAACTACGGCTTCTCTTGTTGGGTCATGTTCTCCGCAACCAAAAAATATAAATTCTGATTGGTGCCTTTTGATTGGAAATTTCTTTGTGAGCCAGTCTGTTACTTTTGATATTTCATATGTACTTTCTGATACTCCTAATCCTTCTGGTCCTTCTGGTCCTTCTAGTTCTTCTAACCCTTCTGGAAATAACCCTAATTCAAATGGTTCTACTAGTAATTCCTCTGAATCTCCACCTATTGCTGCTATTATTGGTGGTGTTTGTGGTGGTGTTGCCATTTTGGCTTTAGCAGCTACTATTGGTATTTGCAAATGTTCGAAGCATAAGAAATTCAGAAGATTCAAACGTAGAAGATTTAGTCGTAAAAGTGAAAATCTTGATGATGATTTTCTTAAACATAAGCCTGAAATGTCTGATATAAATGCTGTTGGCAAACGAAACAATGATAGTGGTCCTCATGGCGGTGGAGGTGAAGGTGGAGGTAACGTTAAACAAGATTCTCAGAGGGGTGGTGACATTAACACAAATAATCTTAACAATCATGCTGGTGATCATGATAATCATGTTGGTGATGGTCATGCTGGTAGTCATGGTGATGATCATGCTGCTAATGGGAATGCTGGCGGAGATGGTTACAACTCAGTTAGTCATACCGATGGTGTTGATGGCTACAACTTAAATGGTAATTTAAGTAGAGGTTTTGATAATGCTACCGATTCACCAACATTGTATACCGGACAAAATGTACAACCTATAGTTAAAAATGTAAAAGATGTAAAAAAAGTGATAGAAAATGTTACTGTGAAGGATGAAGTAAAGGAAGATAAAGCTGATATTTTATTACTTGTAGGTGACGAGAGTAATGACAATGAAACGAAAAAAAGAACTAAAGCTCACAATTTTAACGATGACGTTATTTTAAAAATAAAAGATGTATTATAGAGATTTAAATTTTACATCTCTGGTGAAGAATTAAATATGAGAAGCATCGAAACTTATTCAAACAAATAACAATTGTTTATTTAGAGCAATAATAGAGACTAAATTATGCTTTAAAATAGAAATAATCATTTCTACTGCTCTATTAAATATGTCAATTTTAGCTGGAGATTCATCTTATATAAGTCTAAAACAATTATCTGTGTATATAAAACATTGTTTATGTATTATACGTCTATTGCAGCTAATACTGTATTATCATTAAAGTAATAAATCGCAATGTATATTATATTTTATTTATTAAAATTATTTGTTTCAATTTTGTAACTTGAATTTACAATAATAATATATATTTTATGCACATCTCATTTTATCATGTATAGTACTGTGTATACTGCACGGTATAAATATTCATTATTTATTATCATAACATTGTATAACTGTCGTGTTTGAAGTTGTAACTTTAGCGTCCAAAGTTGTAACTCTAGGCAGGCGTCAACTTCAAACACGACATAGGCATCTCTTTGGCAGATTTTTTTACAAACGCATTTAAATATTTAGGCTTATTAGTATTTAAGCCGCTTAAAGTTGTTTAGTTAATTAATTACAATGTTTTGAGTTTAAGCATGAAGTGGAAGGGAAAATAAACGAACACATACATTTTACATAGCTACCGCATAAAAAATCAGCCATTTTTTTAGACGAATCTGCGTTAAACTTCATTGACAAAAATAACTGTGAATCGTCAATGCATTTCTATTACTGTATTAAAATAAACAACATTTTGACATTATGATTAAGAAAAATGTTGGGGCAACTTTAAGAAAGGCATACTCTGCCAAAATTTGTAAGGTATAATGCAGGTGATTTGTAGGCAAAATTAGAGTTTGAGGAAACCCTGGTATTTTGTTTTCAGATCCTATTAATTAACTTAAAATCGCTGATGATTTTGGAAACAGTTGATCGAGGAGGGATAGCGTTTATCAACTATTCAACATTAAGCAGTCTAATGCAAAACAGATTTGTACTGAATAGAATGATTGTTAGTCTAGTATTTCCTATACATTGAAAAGAATTGCATCATCTATTTCAACGATACTTCAATTACTTAGTCGAATTAAAATTTCTAGTTCTATTTCGTCTAATAGGAACTAGGAAAAATTAGTAAATCCAAGTTTTGTAATATTTACATTAATCACCGGATCTTAAATTATGCATAGTATATTAAATTGAATCTATTCATTTGGGCGAATTTAACGCGTTGAGAGACACAAAATTTTAATTTAAACCCCTTATTTTCCTATATTAATTGGTCAAAGGTACATTACCTGATTATGCTCTAATAATCTAAAATATACCTTAAATAATTTTAAGGATATAGTGATTATGCAAAATCATGCGTCAAACCCTTATGTCCCAGCTGCTTTCTATTGGTTAGAGCTACTTGACATATAATTTGACGTCTAGTCCTTACTAGGACATATAATTTGACGTCTAATCCTTACTAGGACATATAATTTGATGTCTAATCCTTACTATGACATATCATTTGATATAATGCATATATTATTTTAGAAATACATTTACTATTTGTTAATAAAAAAACAGAAGGTGTGTTTTTAATTATGAGTTTACTATTCACTTCTTCACAAAATTTAATTTCTTTGGTCTCTTGCCAGTTTATTTTTGAAAATTTAAATTAGAAAATGGTTATGAACATTGCATAAATTTAAGAATATTTTAATTTAGAAAATATATTACCAATTATTGCTAATGCTTGCCAAAATAAAAGTAAAGTACTATTAGCTCCATGTATTATAAGTTAACTTATTTATATATTTAGAATTATTTATCAATTTTCAAATGTTTTCTAGAAATATAAATATATTCATAATAAGTCTGTATATTAAAAATCCCAAATAGTATTAAAAATATTATAATTAAATTAATATATATATATTATTTTAAAACAATTATCAATTTATATCAATAATAAAAATAATTCCTAAAATAAATAAATAATAAAAAAAAATAAACTTCTTAAAATAAAATTTTGCAGAATAAAAAACTTTTAAAAATATATATACTTGTTTTTATTACAAAATTTAAATATTTATCTTTTATTATTGCAAAAATATATATTTATTGTATAACTATATATCATATAAAATAATTATTGAGTTATAGCTAGCTATAATAGTATATTAAAAATTATAGTTATATAATTTTATAAATTTTTATTATTATATAAATAATTGTAATATACATCACTCTGGTTATATTGATATTTGGATATATTGACAACTAACTATAACAACATTTTTTAAAATTTTAAACCTATATATTTAATATGAAAATGCTTTTGATTAAATTAATATTTGAATATATCAAATAATTTCTTTATTTTTTTAAATGTTGATATAATCAGAGTGACATATATTTATAAATCAAATAAAATTTTTAAAAATAAAAAATCTAATATTAATAATTTAAAAACTTAAATTATTATATATTCAAATATTCTATAAAATAAGTAGCCAACTCTACAAACTCTATACTCTGCTATTAAAAAATTAATAATTACTAATTATTAGTATAGCATATTCTTATATTGCTCACCTATTCTATAAAACATTAAATAGTATTGATCTA